CAGAACGTAGACCTTTTTGCCGCTATCGCTCTGGATCCTTCTGTCTCCTAAGGAAGGCTAGAATGGCATTCTCTTTTTGGCGGCCACGTCACATGCTTAGTTCTATTCAAGTCTTCCTCTCAAGGGTCCAGGTCCTATAACCCCATCACTCCCAGACTGATTTTATTTTTTTGCCTAGGTAAAAGAGACCATTCTTTTTTTTTTTTGCCTCATTCTTATCTACCCTTAATCACTGAATGGGTACTGTCTCAGACAAACTGAGATGTGGGAAAGACCTTAGCTTAAAAAGGCCTGCATCTCCCACATATGGGCCATCTCCAGTCGTCCTGATCTATATCTCGCCACTGGACTCAGAGGGCTGTGGAAGAGAGAGATAGGCTGGTGACTTTGCACAGCCCTGCCTCACTTAAATCCAATCCACTTGCAAGTCACGACATCAACTTCCTGATGTCATGGTCCGCTTTGAGACTGAAGGACAAACAACAAACAACAATCATCCTCTCCTAGACATGTTCAAGCCGCGCAATGCTCTCCTTAAAATATGGCCTTCACAACTAAAATCAATATTTTTAAAATAGGGAAACTGAAGGCCAGAGTGATTCAATGCTTTAACCCAAGGTTACATCAAGCTCAGGTGTAACTTGGTCTAAAGACAGGTTTCTTGACTCCCAGACAAGTACTTGGTTGATGACTAGGCCATGATTCTTCCTCCAGGAAGTGCCTGGGGATTGTGTTACTGTCCCTATCTACAGAGACAGAGCGGGGCTGGACGTGAAAGGAGAAATCTGGGATTGAGTCCCACCCTTTATACTTCTGAGCTGTGTGTGATCATGACCAAATCACTTAACCTCCATATCAGTAAAACAAAGAGAGAGAGGGAGCTTGGTATAATGGATAGAAGGCTAGTCTTGGGGTACGGAAAACCAGAGTTCAGGTCCTGCCTCTGACACATGCTAGTGAGGTGGATCTGAGAAAGCCAATTAATCTCTTAGTGTCCCTCCCAGGAAACACTCTACAACACAGAAGAGTTGTCAGTTGGCATTAATGGACAGAGTTTCCACATTGGGAGTTTTCCACATGGTTGAAATTAAAAGTCCAGACCAATCACACAATGTTTTACAAACTTTAAAGCATTATATAAAAGTTACCTATTACTGGGATTGATACATGCCTTTGTGATTTTATGTCTGAAATTACTATAGGCTGGTCTCCCTGTTGGTAGGTAATCTTTCTCATACTACATAAAAGCTCCAAGAATAATTTTTCTAAAACAACTGCCTTATCTAGAAAATAGGGACCCGTCTACAGACTAGACAACTTACAGAAGTGTATTCTTGATGTAAGACCTATGAATAAAGTATGACAAAGTAATAAAATGAGAGCTAGAGACATATGCCTGAGAGAGCAGGGCCCATGGTTTAATCTGTCTTGGTTTCTCCCAACTCTCCACTACAGAGTTTAAACAGGTTGGACTCTAATTTCTGGCATTTGTAAGAATGTTTTCAAGTTTGCAAGACGCTTTACACAGCTTAGCTCACTGGACTCCAGCCTGACTCTTAATCCAGCAATTTTAATGTTACACCGAGTTGCCCCCAAACTACTGAATAATGGGTTGTTCGAGGTGGTATTTTTTAACAACACAATAGACTGCAAGCTACTGACAACTCTGGAGGGCATAATGTATTATAAATAATGAAAAATTAGTATAAGATGTTAGCATACTAATGCTATCTAATCACATAAGTACTTGCCACTGTTTTACTCTGAATCATGCTTATACACAGTTTCCCACAATTTGACTGTTGTTTTTAGCAGACCCATTTGAAAGGACTTCACATTTAAAACAATAAAAAATGCTCTAAAGAAAACTACTTCATACTAAAAATTAAAATGTTTCAAAATAAAATGAGCACATAAATGATTTCCAGTGTGCCAAAAACTTTGTTAATTTGCAAGAGCAACTGAATCTCACTGCTGTATCACCATCATGACACTTAGGCATTTCAGCTTTCTCTCAACACCAGACCAAGAAGTCACTTGATAGTCCTAGATACATAACTGATAATTAGAAGTCAGGAATTATAAACGAGACCAAGAACTTCCTTTCATTATTTGGTTATTTCCCACAGTCTCTTACTTCTTTTACTCCCCTCCCACTCAAATCATCTTTCATAGCCAGACGGCTTCAAAGTAGTTTGGAAAAACAAAATGAATGCTTCAGGTCACTTCATCTATCTGGAGAGTGCTAATAATTACTGCATAAAAAACATGCCTGAATAGTCAGAAGAATATATTCACAAAAACAGGCAGTTTTTGGGGGAGATTTCACAAAACCCTTAATACTTTTCTAGGAAAATAAGTAACAACTTTAAATATTCCATCCCTGGTGCTCTGAAATATTCAAGAAAGAGGTTAGTTTCTAGTCTTTAAAAAAAAAAAAAGGCTAACTCATTTCCGACAGTGACCATGAAACCAATTATTTCCTTATTATCGGAAGGACCTACTGTAAAGTATGCGGTAATGTGCAGTCAAACTGCATAAAATCCTCCTAATTGAGGAGTCTTCACTTTACTACAGTAAATATAAAAACCAGCAGTTTTTACACCAAATTTTTTTAAAGAGACAAAAGTTTAGAATTAACCCTTTGGTTCCAAGATGAGAATTTTCATGATACACAGTGCATTTTGCATTTACATAATTTTTTAAAAAATAATTGAAAAAAAAAACCCAACATGAAAGGCCTTCTTGGTTCCAGTGGGTTAAAAAGCTCTAGAAACAATGAGTCATGAAATTAAATGAAGTAGAATTACAGACTTAATGTTAAGACACTCTGGAAAGGTTGCTTAATAAGAATATTATATATAAGCTCTGTAGCAATGTGATTTCTTGTTTTTTTCCTTTTTTTTGATTTTTCTTTTGGTTTCTGTTCTTTTGCTGGAGCACTTCATCTACTGCTTTATTCTGTACCTATAAAGTAACATATAATCTCCACTGTTTATCTTAAATTTGTTATGAAATTGCCAATAATCGGATACATAATTTGTATCTGTATTTTATTTTATTGCTTCATGTCCTTGTAAGTCATTCATAATTGACAGATGATTGTGGCCCTTACCTAAGTATTTTTTCTAATAAAACAAAGCAAATTTAAAAAAAAGCCCTAAACTTTCCCTAGCAATATCCACACAACTTTTTCAAAAGAAAATTTTATTGCTATGTTTTGTTTTTACATCACCAGATTTACCCTTGTCTCTCTCTCTGCTCTTTGGCACAAAGCCATACCTCAAAATTGTAAAAGTGCTACCACAACTATTCTGGTGTAGCTGGAGTCTCTCTTCTTTTTCAGCAACTTCCATGGGGTAAAATCCCTACAGATGAGCCAAAGGTTACAGACATTTTCCACATTTTATTTGCGTAACTTCACACTGGCTTCCAGAATGGTTCTACTAATTTCTAGATCCACTAACAATTCATTAGTGTGTCTGTGCTTCCATGACTTCACCAACATTGCCTAGTCCTGTTTTTTGTCACTTTGCCAATTTCCTGGATGTGAGGATCTTCACAAGGACTTTTTATGTTTAATGTAAATTATTTCCTTTATTATTGTGAGTTACAGAAACCTGGCTATCAGCCACAGCTTCATATCACTTAAGAAAGGCTCAATAACGTTTGGTTTGGTTTTGTTCTCTAAAGACTAAAAGATGTTGAATTTTTTTTGAATGAGAAAGAAGGCATCCCAGAGATGGCAAAAGGCCCTACGGATGAATAGAAGACAATGAATTTCCTGTTACTGGTCAGCCAACTAGCCTTTATTAAATACCTACCACGTGCCAGACGTGAATCTTTAGAGAACCCCCAAATAAAATGAAGATGCTAGTACTTGGCCTATGCAAACAGTATAGTTCCAATTTCAATATTGCTTGCAAAAGGTAAGTCTTGAATCAATCAAATCCAAAAGCATTTACTAAGTGCCTTATATGTGCCAGACACTATGTAGGGAGTAGGGACCAAAAAACAAACAAACAAACAAAAAGGCAAACAGTCTCTGACCTCAAGAAACTGATTTTTATCCAGGGAAACAACATATACATAGGTAAGTAATAAAATATAAAAGCAAATTGCAAGAGATTAGGAACTTTAAATTGAGTTGGGATAAATCTCATTTCAGTAAAGTACATGCTCTGTAGATGTTTTTTATTTATATATGTTTATTGTGGTTTTAACTAGCATTTTTATTTATATTTGGAGTTAAGGGGGGAAATTACTGTCTATTGTAAAATCCAGTTTTTTCTCTTTCTTATAAAAGAATATTTAAGATAATTTCCCAGTAAAGAAAACGAGAGAAACTAAAAAAAAAATTATCGTACTCTCCCCTTGTAATTATGGAATTTCAGAGCTAAAAGAGACCCAAAAGATCATCTGGTTTAACTCCCACATTTTATGGCTAAAGTAGCTAGGGTTAAAAAACCCACAACAACATGACTTGCCTAAAGACACGTAACTCAAGTCAGTGGCAGAGACCTGGGAGCAGAACTCAAACCTTCTTTCTACTACCTGGCATGCACTCTAAAAACTATGACTCTAAATTATACAAAATTAAAATATACAGGTTTTTACATAAGCAGTAATAGACTTAAAAACGATGATCTACAATATGGCACAAGTCTTACTAAATACTTCTAGGGAACCAAGATACATATGGGTCACTTGGAAAAAAACGTGTCCAAACAAGTATAATCCTCGGATGTTCGGGCAGGACAGCAGTTCTGCAATGCCAAAGAAACTCTCATTTGCTTTTTAAAAAACAAATAAAGGCTTCAGGAAAAACAAATTCAAATAATTGTCAGCAAAGTTTTCATGGTTAAGTAGTACCTGGAATTCTAACATACATAAACACACACACGGATGTACATATACACATACCTGCCATATACAGAAAAATGTGCCAACATCTCAAAAAGTAAACATCATAGATTCATTTCAAAGGTAAAACTACTAACCTCTTCAATCTCATATAGTTTTCACTGGCAGCAGGTCTGCATTCAGCACGCTGTACCACTATTCCTTCCAATGAAAGTTTATCTTGAATGGAAAGAAAAATATGTTAAATCAATATATTTGAAGACATAATATTTACTATTTCCAGTGCTATCTTTTGAAATACTATGCAAGATTATACAATACAGCTAAAACTGGAAATGGAGTAGTGGAAACCAATTAATCTGCAAGTATTTATTAAGCACTTAGTACATGCTGGCCCCAATTCTAGGCACTGGGGAAAGACAAAACGAAGTAGTCACTGATCTCAAGGAGCTTAAATTGTATGGAGGCTACAGTATTACCTCTGCCACAAAGACTTTGGGCAGATAATGTAATTTTTTCTATGACTCAGTTTCCTCATCTATGAAATTAGGTGACTGGATTAAATGATCTCTAATGACTTTTCTAATTCTAATATTCTAGAAGTCTAAATCAATTTCTCTGTTCCTTACCTTTTCTGTATAATGTAGGCAGATGAAATTTAGCAAAACAGAAAAAACACTTTTAGGTTTAGAATCATAAGCCCTGGGTTCAAATCTTGTCTGGGCTTTTCTTACAGAGACTTTGTATGTAACCTTCTTTCTCAGTATCAGAGTCCTTGGCTTTAGAATAAGAGGGGTGGACAACATGATTTCTCAGATCCAAAAACCATGCCCAACATCGCTCTGGCAGTATAAAAGAAAAAATCCAAGGACTTTTACAACTTCCTTACAAAAATAAATAAGCAATTTTCTTATAAAAGAATACTGTAAAAGAAAGATCCCAAGAATCACGTATATGGCAGGTTTCTGTCATTAACTAGTCATGTTACTTTGGAAAAGTTAGTTCTCTTGGCCTCACAGCCATGATCATCTATCTATATAATTTAGAGGGTTCAAACAGATAAACCTTTACCTAGCATCTGAATCTTCCAGCCACAAGATATTGTGATTTTATATATTCCTTTTCACTTAACCACACTGGTCTTCCTCTAAAATTAAAGTTTTGCTGTTATTATTTGATTTTTTTGTTCGCATTTTCTCCCTCAGGCTCTTTACGGGCACAAGTCTATTACTATATTGTCTTTGTATAGTAACTTTAAAGGAAAGATTTGGAAAGATCACAAAACCCGATTTTGACTCTTGTTCTCCTTCCTCCCATCTGAGAGGTACTGTGCAAAAGACATTCACCACCTTCTCAGGAGTTAAATACTTTCCTGAATAGATAGAAAGATAGGAATGGATCCCCTTCCTTTTATCATAGCAGATTAAGTGGATTTCAATCTGGACCAAGGCAGCTAAAAACTACCCTACCAGGAAACCCACAACAAAATTCTTTTAAGAAGCTATGTGGAGCAACAGAATGGCCAAGGGCCGAGCTAAAGGACTGGACAACAGTTCTTGTGAAAAAGAACAGGGACTAGAGCTAAGCAGCCAAAAAGGTCTACCTTCTGCCTTGGTCTCTCAAGTTCTATGTTCAGATGTGAACACACCATTTTTAAGATGAAAACTGAAAGGGGCCAGGACTGACAATATCCTATGATAGTTCTGTTTGGTTATTTCGCTCTGTTGGTTGTTTGGCTACATCTAATGTTGTTGTTATTCTTCCTATAGGGCTAATTCTACTTCTCAGACTCTCCACTGATTTACTGAAATTTTCTACTTGCTTTTCTAAGCCATTGATTCTCATGTGTTTTCTTGTAGTTTTTCTTCAAGACACATTTCTGTTTGTAGGTGCCAAATTCTCCTTTTCATCTTTTGTTGATTTTCTCCACTATTCCAGAGGCTCTTACAACTGGACAATTATTTCTCCTGGGATCCTGTGTACGATTTCAGTCTTCTCTTTTTGTTTCCTCATTCCTTCAGCCACTTATTTTCCCTGGAGGGTTTTCCTGTGAGCCATTCTTTCTTTTCCTCTTTTTGTAGTGTCTTTTTACTTATTTGAAGGGTCGGAGCAAGTCTATTTTCTAGCAGTACTGGGGAGCTGGGTGCCAAAACTTCTTTGGAGCCCTAATCCACAGGAAGGATTCTGTGCCAGGTAGGGAGTGGGAGGGAGAACTGTTAAGGTCCTTTCCAGCTGTTAATATTTTTTGATTCAGTGACACTGAGTAGTAAGCACTGGAGCACGGGTTATAGAGTTTAGTGAATCTTGTACAATGCAAAGTGATTCAAATGGAGCACAGCTCAAGTAACACCTAGAAAGGTATTCATCTTCCTTGGCATGTAAGGAATGAGATCAAGTATGTTTGGAAGCTATAAGGCATCAGGAAGATGTAAAGCATGCTTCTTTATATAATCCTTTTGGATACAGGACATTTAGAGAACTGGCATTAGAACTTCAACTCAGTTCTACAGAACAGTAATTTGGATTACTGACTCTCCTGAGATGGGAAGCCACTACCTTCCTAACTGCCTGTTCCAAGTCACACCTTAACCTACCTTGCCTGGAAAAGAAGAAAGGGAATAAAACTTCCCCTCCCAGCAAGTGACATAAGGTAACTAAAACATTTATAGATTTTAAGTATTTGAAGATTTCTCCTCTATCTTAACCATCTTTCTGGCAATCTGCTTATTGTTCTGAAAGCAAGGTTTTTCATTATAATCCACTTGGCATCTGATCTTAAACAGATCACTCAAACTAGTAATGTATTTTTAAGAAACAGATTATCTCAACTAATATTTGTGAATAAACTTGTCTGTCTTCTACTTGATCTTTCCTTAATCTTCAACAGTTTATGGAATGATATAGCACATCAAGACTTTATTCACTCTAGCTCAGTGTTTGATTTGAGCTACATTTATCTCCTATGATAGACAGTCAACTCAATTATTTGTTCTAATGAAAGGGAGCACTGGCAAAAACAGAGCCCAAACTATGGTATATTTGGCACTGGAACATATTTTCTAATATGCACAAGCCAAACGTGTGTTTGTGTCTAAATCCTGAGAATTCACAACAATCAAATAAGGAAGCCATGCTCAGATTCAGGAGGTCTTAGAAAACTGACCATCTTCCTCAACTACTACCCACAGTGCAATTTCAGTGAACGGCAAAATAGACTTAAAAGGTATAAAATAGGCCATCTGGAAAAAGGTTAATGGAATTGGGGATTGTTTAGCCTAGAGGATACAATTCAGTTTTTAAAATTTGCTGAGTGTCTCTACTGTGCCCAATTCCCACAAAAAGGACAGGACACTAAAGAATTACAGGAGGGATCATGTACCACAACATAGTTGAAAAAAAAAAGACCAACACATTAATTAAAACAATTCTATACAGTGCATAGGTAAGTATTAAAATGTAAGATACAATCAAATGTGCCAAGGGTGTTAGGAAGAATGTAAATTTATTACTGCCCAAGTACATGATAGTTTTTATTAAGATGATGCTAACTGGTAGTTCTCTTATCAAGTTAAAATAAGCTTAAATTAAAAACTGGAGAGAAAACGCTGGAATGAGCTACCCAGGGAGCTAATGTAGTCTATCCTTAAGATTCTGTAAGAAAAGAAGCCATCAATCTTGGATGATTGAAAAAGGCGGTATCCCAAAGGATGAAACTGGATATACTCTCTGATTCTAAAAAATGAATTTTACAGACTATATTGAAAGGCTGTTAAAACAGGAGAAATTCTGGATACTTTTAACAAGTCATTTTTTTCCTTTCCCATTTTTAAAAACTGCTATAATTAAAATAGGTTAACTGCCCTTAATAATTAAATTAATACTTGCACTTTCAAATCAAATGGTTTACTTTTAAATACATAAATTTTTTTTTCTGATTCAGACCAATGACATCATAAGTTCTTCGATGGGCTTGAACTAGGAAGGAAACTCTATTTTGATAAGACCTGTCAGTGCTAGTACTCTGTTGGCAGACAAACTGACAACCCAGATTGCAGGGATTCTTTAAATTTAAAATATGATTCTCTGTCTCTCTCTTTCATTTTCTCTCCTCCTCCTTCCATCTCACTCATTCTTCCCCTCTTTCTCCCTTCCATTGTCTCCCTCCCTCTCTCCCTCCGCTAATCCCCTTTCTCTTGCACACACACATATCCAGAGTGGACAAAAATGTAGAATAAAATCTTTCCTATGCTAGGAACTTTTCTAGGCTAATAGTTTTGAGTGCTTTTCCCACATACTGAACTCCTTCTGTCACATTTTCTGTTGAATTTCTTAAAATGTTCCCCAGAGTAAAATTTTAGAAGACTTAGTTCAATCCTACACATTTAAATGTGTATTTATTCCTATTCTTATTCCTATTTAAAAGGAAGGCAATGTGACACAGTGAATGGAATCATTTGCTTGGAATCAGGGAGACCTGCATTCAAATCCTGCTTCAGAACTTAGTAGTTGAATGATCATAGGAAAGTCATTTAACCTCTCAAGGGCTTCTTCAGTTTCCTCATCTGTAAAATAAGGAAACCACTATTTATACTAACTATTGACTAGAGCTGTTGTGAGGTGACTTTGCAAACCTTAAAAGATTATTTAAATAGGAGTTTCTTTTATTACTATTATGAATATTATTCATCTAACTAGAATCATTCATGAATATGATAACTTCCTCTCCAGATTACTAGTGTTCCTTAGAAAGAATGAAGTTCTGTATATAGTTTCTGTAATAACTGGAATGTCTATATCAACTCAGAAAATTGGCATATATAGTTAGCTGGCATATTCTTTGTGAACTATAACAATATGATAAAACACCTAATACCTACAACACTTCTACTTTGTCATGGTTGGCATGCAGGTTATTCAAAGTTTATTTCTCAAAGCTGGGCAGCCGGATGATTGACTCTCTTCATATCAATGGATCCCAAAGTGTCAGTGAATACAATGGCTTTTTTATTTTGGTTATATACATAAAGAAGCCGAATCTGGGACAGAATCAAGTGCACTCTAATAGGAAGGAGTGGAGAAGGGCTTTAGAACATGTTTGGTGTTCATCTCAGTGTCCACAATCCTATGAACTGGAATTAAGCAGAAGTTTCACCAGTATTAGACAACTTAAATACCTGAATGAGAAAGAGAACTTGTAAGAAGACTTCTTGAAAGGGGGC